GCCTTATTATCACAGCTGCTACTATTGATTATGTTCTGGGTAGAAACTAAAGCAAAGCAAGAAAAATATGGTATGTTTTTGGTTTGTTTATCGTTGATTTTCAATTTATAAATGCACAATTGTAGATGTGTGTCAATGTGTAAAATACAGGATGCCTTTCAAGGTGAAGCAATGAAATTCTGTTTCTCTACCCCACACCCCTGATATCATGTGAGCAAAGAACCAGCAAAGGAAAAGAGGACGTGTGTAAGCATTGAAATAATGCATTACAGACAAACATAATTATGGTATTATCACTAAAATATAATTTTCCTTGCATTTGTTTGACTGGATTTTGTTATGACTGGTTATTGTAAAAAGAAATATGCAAACTATGAAAAGCTCTACAGCGATGGGGTTGACTAAATGTTCATTGGAACTGAGCAAAGTAACAGGAAAAAAAAAAAAAGTATGAACATGAAGACCCTGGTTTAAACCAAACCAACTAATTTTCTCAGTACCTCTCCATAGCCAGTGAATCAGCTGTTGTCTGTCACTGAGGGTGTGTTTTGGAGTACAGGGTCCTGCCAGGATTCGAACCTGGAACATCTGCATGGCCAGGCAGAGGCCCCCCGGAGCACAGAACCAGATGTGTACTCTCGGAAACAACCTCAGGACCAGAAACAGACTGATTGTGTGCTAAACTATAGATATGACTTATTTAGTGGTCGGGTTTCTGCTGGAAACAGATTATGATGCGATAATTACTGAATGATTCAAGTGGGGAAATAATCTATGATTTTTATTTTTAACCGTGTTTATCTGTAAACTGACGGCACACACTCCTCCACTGTCTGTCTAGTAGGTCAGATTTTACCTTGTGCCTGCTTTACACAGGGCAAAGCTTTAACCTTCTTTGTTGGTAAAGTCAGCCTGGGGTCATCTACAGTCAGACCCAGCACTGTGCCTGGGGGGAGCTCTCCAGTTGAATAGATGCCTGAAATAATTACACAGTCATGGTTAGATAAACATGTGCACACACACCCAGATGGCAAAAAGTAAGTACTAGGTAAGAAAAAAATTATTATATTTTGATTACCATTAAGAATAAACTAAACAATAGACCTTTCAGTATGTGATAGACATCAGCTTGTTGTTGATGCAGATTCATCTTGCTCTCGTCTTTGCAGTGCTCAGGCCACCAGAGGGAAGAGGACTGGGATTTATTAATTTCCTTTAAGCAAAAGAAAACCCAAATGAGACACAGTTATTCAGAGTGAAATGAAAATTAATTAATCTAATTTTAATGTTATACCAACACCATAATTCTTACATCGCAGTCTGTGGCAGCCTCCAAAGTTTCCGCCAGAACAGAATGGGATTGTGGTCCAATCAGGCGGTAGCGCACAATCTCCATTGTGAGGTCACTGCAACAGATCCACAAGGAAATACAAAGATTTCAAACTAAATAATTCCCACCACAATTCAGACTGAAAGTTCTCCATCCAAACCAAATTTAACACAATTTGCATCCCAATGAAATTTAAAACCAAACTAACTTTATAACTATTCCAGTTGAGCTTGACTTCCAGGTAACCGGGGTGGTGGGAGATCTGGTTCCATCACCCAGGATCTTCTTGGCTGGAGGTCCACTGGCATCCTTACAGCTTCGCTTTCTCTTGGTTCCAGTTATCTGCTTGGTCTCAGGGTTTTTTTCAGGCTTTGGCTCTGGTTCTGGTCCTAGGGTAGGAACAACCTCAGCAGGTGTCACCACTGGAACGACTGGAGGAACTACAGCCTCGCAACACTGGCACACAGTTTGTAACTCAAGAAGAAGGTCCTGCAAAGAGCACACAGTTACTGGAGTTAACAGTCTTGCTACCTCTCCATTCACTACCATGTCTACTTTAACCACAAAACTATTTAAAAATTTGTGTATATAAAATTACATGGTATGATTTTAATGTATAGACCTTTGCAATAACCCATTACATCCTTAAACCCTGTCATACTTTTTTAATAATGGGATGAGCCCAAATCCACAGCTGCCTGTGGGTTGAGCCCTGTGTACGGGGTCTCCAGAGGAAGGTGACAGGGCCCAGGGGCTGCGAGGGGTACTGTCCTGCTTTGTACACCATCACACTGCCCTGTCTTCGCCCTGATAGACTCAGTGCTGCAGCAAATGTAGGACCTGGAAACACACACCACACACCTATTACTCTAATTATTCAAACTTTTAACTTATTATTGAAACTTTTGCTGATCTACTTATCTTTCATTAGATTGTGTGTCTCCTAACAGTACACAAATTACCACTCAAAACTCAGAGAGAAAGGACTGGTGTCAACAGGTCAAAATTATCAGTATGTTTGAGCACTTAGTCAATGAAGACAAAATGTGTGTATTTGTGGTTGTGGTACGGTGTATTCTCACCGGCTTCCTTGCTGGTCAGCTGTGACAGAGAAGCCAGCAGCTTGTCTTCCTCTCCCTGTAGCTCTATGCAGCAGTAATAAGAAAGGTCCTGAGATGACAAAAGCCAAAAATTCTCACTTATTTTACTGGTACTGAAATCCCTTTAATTAATCAATTCTATTTTTGTGACAAAAATTAAACCCAACAAAGTCAATTCTGTGACGGTTACCTGCAGCAGGCAGTGGCCACTCATTGCCCTGTAGCAAGGCCGGTAGCATTTGTATGTCGGTCTGTCCCCCAGGCAGTAGCCCCACTTTTTAACCATGTGGAAGCGTTTGGCGTGCCAAATGTGTGTCTCCAGCCACATGTTCTTTCTCTGCCGGCGGTTAAATTCCAGCAACAGATTTCCGTGCCGGCGGCGGGCCTTGCGGCTCTTGCTCTTTGCCTGTTCCTTCTTCTTCTTTGAGCCGGCCTGGAGGCTCTTCTCCCGCTGGAGGAAGAATGAAACAGAAATGTCACCAAACATGTCAGAGGTACTCAGAGGTGTTAAACCTGCTATTTGATGTAGGACTCAAAGGGACATTAACATCCATAAAGGAAACATTCTGAACTTTACCATTCGGTTGGCCACATCTCTCAGCCTGCGAGGGAGACGCTTGGTGTTGTGGCTCATAGCCCGTCTCCTCATGTGTTTGGGCAGGGCTCCGCACACATGGGAGCTTCCCGTTGTCACAGTGACAGCTTTCAGCATAGCCCTGACCTCTGCCGACCTGGCCCTGGCAAAAGCTCCAGCTGAATAAGGATGGGAGCGAGGGAGAGTCTTTAATCGGACTGATAGTCCAATTTAAATTCATAACAAATTTCTTTCACTTTGTATAGGACGGCACAAAAAACAGTTAATCTGCACCACGTGAAAATAATGGACCTACAAATAAAATCTGATCATTTTTTCCTTTAGAGTACAGTGTGAGTATGTAGAAGTAGCACAATATCTTTACCAGTGATTAGCTTAGGCATCTCCTTGGCATAACCTCCACCATCTTTCTGGTGTCCACGGACCCATCCAGCCCGCTGGTGAGGGTTCTTTGGCCTTTCTGTAGATGGACGTACATTAGATGGACCATCATCACGACCTCCACCTGTGGGAAGATTATTTAGTCATTTGAGGGCCATCACAGGTAAAACTGAGAACGTGTCTTAGGCTGAGTTTCCAACCAGGCAAAACACTGCGCTGCGCTGGAGCTACGGACTTTCAAAGGCAATTGTTTCTATGCCAGTGACCTGATTATTAACATTTTTGTTTGGTAAAAAAGCACAATACAAACAGAAATGGTAGAGGTCTTAATGTGGTTCCTGTACTGTACATTAACGTATTTATGAGATTTTGCCTGAGAGTAGCCATGTGGCAAAATCTGGTTTTAATACCTTTAATATGTCGGTAATGTGCTTTCGCTGTTTTTGCACATTCCTACACAAATCTGTGTTTGACTAGATGATTTCATAGGAAGTGAAGCAACACACTGCAACTTAGTAAACCTGGGTTGGAGCACTATTACAGCATAGGAACCCACAACTCATTTTACCCCTTAATGAGTTAATTCAACCCTGAATGCGGCTCATATTATTGCTTTTAGATGAACTGTCTTCTTGCTTGCCCTACTTCCACAAGGAGGTTTGGATAAACTGAAGACAGTAAAGTTGACAGAGACTGCGTGCTGTATATTTTAGGCGATGTATTCGTTAATGTTGATAAAATCAGAGACATGCAGACAGGAATCAATGATACAGACTGAAATAAGCTGACCAAGAGGAGACGAGGTCATGGATTTAGAGTGACGGGGACACACACAGCATCTTAAGAACAAATGCAGAGACACATCTGAGCATAAAAAGAGATGAATAAAGAAGTTATAGTACCGGTAACCGAGGTGTCTCCTCCGTTCTGGGTGCTGCCGGATGGATACTGCACACTGACGGGCTGGTTTCTCATCTTCTTGCCCCGCATCTTCACTTTAGCTGCAGACATTTTCTGCAGGACACAAGAAGACCCGTTTCAGACACCGGCTGTCCTTCGTGCTGGTTGTTAAAGAGAAAGCTGACACTGCAAACCACCTAACGTTAACCTACATGATGTGCCAATATTGCTAACGTTAGCTCGCTAACTGACGTTACCCGACGTAAAGTTGGACTGTTGGTTTAATAAACAAAAACACAAATACAACATATCTAATTATTAAGTAGAGAACTGTTACATATGTCCACCTCTTGATTCCCCAGTATGCTTGTATGTCAGACACTTTGTTCACAATGTAGCGTCCTCTCTTTTCCCAGCTAACGTTACCATGTGAGTTTTCCTCGCGCTGGCTGACGTGATGTTTGCTTCCGGATATGTGGTGTTCATGGGATTTGTAGTGTATCGGCGCAACGAAAAATTACAACGCCAACCAACCTTAATTCTCTTGAAATGTTGTGTTGTTTTTCACGAGTAGTCTTCAGTTGACCATACAGTATGTATGTATACCCGTACTCGTACAGAAACATTTAAAATATACATATTTTCAATATGTATTGCGCGTTTAAAACGTCATTTACAGTAAATCAGCGCTCGTTACGTCATCCAGTGCGCTTGCAGTGTTTCCGTCTCCTGTCTCGCAGCTCTGTTGCAGCACTTGTTTCATTCACTTGGTTTGATTCCATATTCCATATAGTAAAATGTCTGCATTGATCAGGAGGATCATCAGTACCACTAAAGCTCCCGCTGCTATCGGCCCGTACAGGTGAGAGCTCTGACGGCCGATCATCAGGCTGAAATCTTTGGTGGTCAAGTCACAGCTGGTTTACAGCTGACGCAGAATAACAGTTATGCACCACATGTTGACAGTGTTGGTAAGAGAGTAAGAGAGTTATTTATATTTTCTTCATGTCATTAGGCTATACAGTTGTGTTGAGTGCACAGTGTTGTCCAGTAGGAGTGGCTGGAGGTGGAGCAGTAGTCACTCCTACTGTGCGCAGGAGCAAAGTGCAAGAATTTAGGATTGCACTTTGAACTTTGTAAACTATTGAAGGGCTAAACTAATAGGATCAACTGCAAACTGTGTTCATAGTTTGTGTCAAAGTTTGAGTTTTATTGTTTTAACGCAGCTCTGTCCTTATCAAGTTCAGTAGCCTATGACTTTGCATTAAAATGGTTGTATTTTGTATTTTTCAATTACATTGGAAATTGACTATCACAATTTCTGCATCTGCTCTCCTACTGTAGCAGTGAAAAACACTAGACAGGACAAGAAGGCTTCACTCTCTTTCCTCTAACCCTGCCTTTAATTCAATGCAGATGACTCTTTGTTCCTGTTTGTTTGTGTCCCAGCCAAGCAGTAGTGGTAGATCGGACCATGTACATCTCAGGACAGCTGGGGATGGATCCTGCCAGTGGACAGTTGGTGGAAGGAGGTGTTCAGGCTCAAACCAGACAGGTGACCCACTATAAAAACACCCACCTACCATTAATTCATTCATAAACCAGGAACACTGCAAAATGGGGAACTGTCCAATATATTATTGAAGTTGTGTACTGTAATGATGTGATTGCTCTGTTCTGGTCACAAAGTTAAACCCTCTTAGGTCTCTCATATCCAATACACATAGAGGCTGCTACAGTATGAATAATAAATGCAGTATGTAATTTGAATTGAAAGTAGATTAATTTGATGCTTGCTTTAGGATCTCTCATCTCATTTTAATCAAATTTTCCATCAGCTTGTCTCACAAATGAGCAAATCAAAATAAAAGACAGAATTACAGAGCACCTACATTTGGAAGTTCTTTTCCCACAGGCTCTTGTGAATATGGGTGAAATCCTTAAAGCTGCCGGGTGTGGTTATGAGAACGGTGAGAAAAACTTTACTGTCTGATTGCATTTTGAATTGAACAGTTTTTCATTGCAGACATAAACATATTTGTTTTTCCTTGTTTCCTGCAGTTGTCAAAACCACAGTGCTCTTAGCCGACATGAATGACTTTACTAGTGTCAATGATGTGTACAAGCAGTGTAAGTATCATTCATTCACTTATCAATAGGAATTTATATTTGCAATTTACTGCTGAGCTATAAGGGGGGAAAAAAATAAAACTTGCTACTTGTGACCAAAAGTTCATCACTTTTGCCACCAGGTGTCACCACAACACAGGGCACCTGCATTAACCAGCCGTATATACTGACTGAATAGGTGGCGTTTGGCTGGGTTTGCTTGAAGCTGCTAAACTTTGCCTTTGTACATATTGTTCTCACTCTTACCCAGAGTTCACGTGATTAATTGGTTACTTGTTCCAAGTGCTTATCTATGGTTATACACTCTTTATTAATTCTCTGTAAATACCTTTTACATAAAATCTGTCAGTCTTAACCATTGTATTTGTCTGGGCACATCTTAGAGATGATTGTTATCCTTCAATCTGCCTCCTCATATTGTAAAAATGCCGAGAAGGATCCAGAGCAATTGCACTCAGAAGTATGAAACACAGCTGACAGCTGATCACACTTGTACAGGGACTGCTGACGTTTGCTGAGTCACTAAGCAGGGTGAAACCTGAGCTGCCACTGCCAGTGGATTAAGCCTTAAACTAAATGTCAAACAAAGTGCCACATCTGATGCTCCACAGGCAGCCAAGAAATCCTTTAACTCTACTTACAAAGCCCTCATGGGATCGCAGAAGTATTCTATATGGAGAGAGTAAGACTTTCATCACAAGCACCATATTCATTTCAGTGTCATTTGAGGTACTTTGTATTAACAAAAGGAAAGGTAACAGGAGCGCCTCCACATTCATTGATGCTCTTGGAGGGGGGAGTAATTATAAAGAGAAAAAAGTACACCTTCTTCTATGTGTAAAGTGTGGCATAAAAATCCACTGATCCAGTTAATATGGATAAAAATACACCAATAGGTATTGCAACACGTCCACACAGGTGTTTTCATTTATTCAAGCTATTGAGACTTCTGCTAAGGTGAAGTTGGGTGGAGCTATACTGACGTCTGTAATGTCACCAAACTTCATGAACCAATAAGGATGAAAAGGTTCCAAGTTCTCTGACTCAAGCCTGCCCTCAGTCTTGTGAAGAGGTCTAATCAGGCAAAATAAGTGAAAACACCTGTGCAGGTATCAAATCTATGCAGGGCCTTTAAGTACTTATTGCTGTGGCTTTATTGCACTACATTTCCCAGAGATCTCGTGTGTGTGGTGTGTCTAATAATGCAGTCATATTGGATTTTCTGTTGATGAAGTTTGAGTTTCTGTAGGGGTTGCTATTTTCTTTAACCATGTCAAAGTTTCTGCCATGGGGTCCGATTAGACCTGACAGATGTTTCTAGGGGGGGGAAAATTAAAGACTAATTAAAAAAATTATAAAGTATATAATAAGGGCAGTGTACTGTGTTTGTAGAGAAATGTACTTTGCTGATTTGTCATGAGCAGGAAATGATGGAATCCAGTATGTGACTCAGTGAAACTTTGACACTTGAGGTTCAGAACAACAAATACAAGCTTTCATAAACTGAATGCTGCCTTTAAGAGACCTTTAAGAGCGTCTCAGCAGTAAAAGCTCAGGTGTGCCTAATAACAGTAACGAGAGCTTGTGCCCACTGGGACAATGCAACAGAGCCCCTAATTATTGTTATTAGTTACACCTGTGCTTTTCTTACTGCGACAGTCCAAGTAGGGTTTTATTTCATACCAGTCAGTGGCAAAAAGTAACAAAATGGGCCTTTCATATTAACATGTGTCTGATTATAACTTCAATACGAGTTACACTGTTGTGAAGATTTTTCATTTAAGGTTTCTCCGTTTACTTGTTGTCAAACCTTGCCAAAGCTCAGTCATGTGTCTGTTTCATCTAATATCAGTCTGTGTGTTGATAACCTAATTCCATTCAACGTGCTGCTATCTCTTTAGTCTTCAGCACTAACTACCCAGCCAGAGCTGCCTACCAGGTTGCTGCTCTTCCCAGGGTAAGCATATAACGGAGACTTGTGCTTTCCATTGACTCTGTAGTGGATTTAACTGAGCTGTATGCTCTCTCTCTCTCTGTAGGGTGGACTGGTTGAGATTGAAGCAGTGGCTGTACTGGGCCCTCTGACCAATGCTTCCTAACAAGTTTAACTCTCAAACAATAAAAACTGGAAAACTCCCAATCACTGACAAATGTACAGTATGTGCCTTTTCTTGTCAATCAGCCAAGATTTGTTAAAACAATATTCCAGTGTAGCATCCTTTCTATTACAGATGTATCATATTTTGTTGTCCATTAAGTGATTTAGCGCTATCATGAACATGTTGTGGGTCATCTGGCAGACTAACAGCAGTCAGGCTCAGTGCACTTTCTCCCCTCTCATTAACATTGATGAGAAGTGTTTGAAGCCAACGCTGCATTTTAAATCCCCTCTGCTCACATTTCACTTACAATAGCTGTAAAGTATCTAAGCTTGTTTGCTCTTACTGAATTACACTACCAGCCACGTTGTCACCAGCCATACAGTGTATCTCTCGCCAGATGATGGATGATGAAGTATAACTCAATAATAAATGTTTTTAATTTGCTTAAATGCTGATTTGTTTCCTTGATGATCACTTTGTGATGTTTTATGTTAGTCCTTGGTGATTGGTTCTTACAGTATATATTGGATATCTGCTGATGCTGCCAGGGTTGTACATGATGGAAAACCATTTATACATGAGGACAGTATGGATTATGCCCTTGATCATGGTTGGAAATAGATTATAGATTACAGCAGTCCTGCTGTAACCAGTGTAATGATTTTTGGCTTATACTATGAGCAAGGAGAGTTCATCACCAATATATCATTCATCTGACTCCATTTGATTTGATTTGGCTTCTTTCTCCATGTGCACACCTTTAGAAAGATTTAATAGAAGATTTGTAGAACTGGGATAGCTGAACACATGTTGTGAAAAGCTGGGCGCCGAAGGATTTTATTCTATCCAAACATCACATCAGCAGATTGAATTGATTAGGTCCTACCATCTGTTTTAAAGCAACTGATCAAATATTTATTGTTCCATTTGCCTGTTCGGTAATGAGAAGTATTAACAACATTCATCTTTCCTAAGATTATTGCTCACTCTGGAGCTCCAGGGTCACACACTGTGCTGTGTATGGTACAATATGTTAATAGGTGAGGTGAATCCTCTCAAACATGGGAAGAGAAAAGCTGAGCTATTAACCCATATGATGTGTGGTCGAGACTATACATGTTTTGTGCACATAATATCATTACTAATTTAAATTGCCAGCAACTACTTTCCCAGTTTCTATGAGGGTGATAGGACTGTCCATGGCAAAAATGATAGTGTAGTAAATAGATATGTAGTTTATCTGAAATCGTACCTGCTGCAGTAATGTTTATGTGTCACTTTAAAAGGTTGTGAGACTACAGGCTATATGACAGAAACATCTCTTTTATAGGTCAGTCCTGTAGCTTTGAATAATGTAATGAAAACTGTAATGTGTGCTTCAGCTGTCTATGTTTGCATTTTTTAAATGTATACATGTTTTTTTAAACATGTATACATGTTAGGGGTATTATAAACACAGTGGTTGCAATACATTACAACACAGTCCCATTTCATTCAAAAAGCACACTTATTAGTGAGTAAAACTTTATTCTGTACACTAGGTTAGCAGAATCAGACAAAGCTTAGAAAATGAATATATTACAGAGAAAGACACAGATGGAAAAAGATATCAGACATCAAAACAAATTGTTGTTCCCACAACATCCATCAATCAGATCTTACATAGTTGAAATTATTTTCTAAGATACTTTAAGACAACATATAGAACTAATGATAATTTAAAAATCATGTCCACTAGGTGATTTCTTACTGTGCTACACATGTATGTAATGCACTCAAACCAAAACCATTGTGCATAAGATGTTTGTCAGGCCTTTGTGATGCCCTTACATTTATAGTTGGAAATGCATTTCTGAGAGAGCGTGTTATGAACATCTGCAAGATGACATATCAGTACTTGGATCATCTTCATCCTCAACCTGGCAATGATTCATTATGTCATTACTCATCTTTTGCATATAATTTTTCTTCCTTACACAAAACAAAAACACATTTTATTCATGATTTTTTTCCATTGAAACCAATAAAGTGATATTGAAGACTTTTTTAAAAAGGAAACATGGATTTGACAGTAGTGCTTATCAGTATTACACTGTACACTCTGTTACTCATTTAGTACTATCATTCCTATTAATTAAATGAACCTTATTAGAAAGGCTGCAATTAAACAATGTGTAAACACCAACAAAATGTGTTTTTTTAATGGCAGAATTTACACTTCATAAAACCTCAAATTCAATCAGTGAAGGTGTTTGTTTCTGTCACCTCAAGCTCTTTGCATAATCTTATTCACAGTTGTGTTTGGCTTGTATTCCTCAGAAGCAGCTATTTTAAATAGTCAAGGATTTACTTTGCAAGCATCCTTCCCTAGTTCATCACACTGCCACAAGAGTTCACAGATTTCACAGAATATTGCACCCTCCTGTCTAATCTAACCTGTTCTAAGTGTTTTTATTTCAGTTTCTTTGCGTATGCCTGCATGTAGAGTATGTGGCTCGAGGCACGTGAGGTCTCAGTAGAAAAACGTTGTTTATATTTACAAATTTAGGAAAAATCCTGATATTTCCTAAATGACATGTTATTAAGGCACCATGCATATTAATGTATGTGGTGTACAGTTTGGTGAGCGCTGACGACAATACTGAAAATGTAGTGTTTGTCTTCTTCCAGTTGCCTTACAATGGTAGCTTTGGGTTTTTTTTGTTATTTTGGTGAATATCTTCTCTCTGAAAGATAAAGTGAGACAATCCTAAAACGTCATATAAACAAAAATCAACTGTTTTCTCCTCTACTGTATGCAAAAAACCCACCTTTAGAGTATATTCATCATAAAGTTTATTCATTATGCAAAGGTACTGGATCTTGAATTGATCCTGCAGTATTGTCATGTGGTTGAAGTGTGGTTTGTGGTTGTGCTCTTACCAGTTCAGTCCTCCTTTATGGCTTTCTCACTCTCCGTATCCTGAGAGGCCTCAGTTGCCGACACTACTGCACACACACACACACATTGAAAGGAAATCAATACATCACATTTTCATTCAGTACAAGCCACATTGTAGTCTTTCAGGCTGAAAGCACTTTGAGGTTGTTTGACATACAACTCGACCACCACCAAACTAAAGACTACTGTCACAATGCACCATAGAGGAGGAGTGAAGTGCAAACATTCCTTTCTAAGCACATCTGGTTCTGCTGAACTGGTTTACTAGTGATTTACCTTACCTTTGCGCGCGCACACACACACACACACACACACACACACACACACACACACACACACACACACACACACACACACACACACACACACACACACACACACACACACACACACACACACACACACACACACACAGAAGTGAGCCTCTAGAGAAAGAAACTCAGAAAAGTTATGCAATATGTCTTCCACAGCAGACCAGTATTCTACACGTGCTGCCTGGAGGGGCGTCTCAGCCCTAAAAGTACAGCATGTTCTCTGAGAGTCAAGACCGGGGTGCACGCTGCACTGAAAACCACAAGCTCTGGCTACTGGAGGTACTGTGCATTTAATGAGTTAAATGCAGAAGTCATGAATTGTACACAGTGTATACTTTGGGTATCTCAGAGATTTTAAAGAGGGAATCACTCTGCTTTGTAATTTAAAAAGGTGTTAAATTCCACATGTTGTGGCCAGGCATGTAAAATAGTTCTACTGTGTCAATCTAAATGACATTAGCTTCAGTACTCTGTAAAGAAATACTATCCCTACAACACAGTCCAAATGAAGCTGAACAGATGCAATGGTGTAAATGTGAATGATGAAATGAGTAGAACCATACAGAATAATCACAAACATATGGCGAGTTACTGAATTTCTCTTTAAAAAATAAAAATCAACCCTTAAAATGGTTTTACTTCACAATTTTTTGCACGATGATTGGAATCAAGTCAGGCTTGTCGTCCATTTGCATTGTCTTATATAATTCAAACCAGCAGGGCATGATTATTCTGCAGTCAGTTCACAATAGAGTACAATGAGTGAGAGTTGTGTGACTGGAGCTGTTGTGCTGACAACATGCTCCTGCTATAATCGACACACTCAAGACAAGCCTTCATTTCTCACTCGGAGAGTGTGTGGCTGCCTTCTGTTGCTCACACTGCGTTATCTGTTCGGCCTCACGGCCCAACAATATCCTGTTCATCCTGTCAGCTCCAACTAATCACAGGACTACAGACAGGAATCTATGTGAAGGATTGTTTATTACGAGAATGGTTGAATGGTTTACTGAGTTTGGTGTTGCTAACCATGTGTGTGCTGGATACCCACTTAGTTACCAATGACCTTTGAGGGGGTGATGTAGTAAAACGGTCCTTGAAGAGAACAATCTTGGCCATATTTGTAACAAGAAGATGGATTGGCTGGTGAAGGACTATTAATTGTTTACCTGGATGTAAACAAAATCTTCTTATCTATGTGCACATTACTGAGGTTCTGTCCCCGTCTCACCTCTTTCTGCTTGTTTGTACATGCTCAGTGAATGTTTGCATGGATTCCCCAGCTATTTCAGCCAGTGGCAATGTTGAGCTGTTTGTCAGCTGACAGTTTTTGGGTGGAGGTCAGTCTGTCAGAATGTGTCGATCATGCCCTATCAAGCAGGTTAAGACACGGTGCAGTGCCTTAAAGTTAAAGTTAGCTTGACAGGTTTGCTAGGAAACAATTCAGTGTTTAATCAAGTAAACTACTGAGTCAGTACACGCCCTCAAGATATACTCAACAATGCCAGGCATCAGCCACTTGAATCTTATTGTTGTCAAGCTTCAGCCATTAAAACTTTTACTTTGGAGGAAATGTGACCACACCACAACTGAAAATCTGCTTTAAATAGCTACATATATACCTTTGTGGGAAGGACTCTACAGAGAAAACAATTACTGACAAGATAAGACAGAGAGCAATGTAGAGATGTGTAGGGGTTTCATACCTTCAGGTGAGGGCTCAGGGGCAGGTGCTGGGGTGGACTCAACCACAGGAGCCTCTGCTGGGGCTGCAATGTCCATAGCAGGCTCTGAGATGACGGCTGCTGCTGGAGCTTCAGGGGCTGCTTCTAAAGACACCGCTGGTGTAGATGCTGGAACCACTGCCTCCTGGACCGGCTCAGCAGCAGCAGATTCAGCCTCTGGTGCTGGAGTAGGGGGGCATGGTGTCTCCACTGGTGCAGCAGTCTCAGCAGGGGCCGCTGGAGGCACCGTTGCCTCTTCAACAGCTTTGGCTGGAGATAATGGAGGCATCTCTGGAATAGTTGCTACAGCAATCTCTGTATCTATTACAGGCTCTGCTGTCTCTGCAGGTGCTGAAGCCACATCTGGTACTACACCTTCACCTGGTGATGGTGCTGCAGCCTCACTTGGTGCTGGTACTGCAGCCACAGGCTCACTTGGAACTGGTGCTGCAGCCTCACTTGGTACTGGTGCTGCAGCCGCAGGCTCACTTGGTACTGGTGCTGCAGCCTCACTTGGTACCGGTGCTGCAGCCTCACTTGGTACCGGTGCTGCAGCCTCACTTGGTGTTGGTTCTGCAGCCTCACTTGGTGTTGGTTCTGGTGCTGAAGCCTCATTTGGTGCTGGTGCTGAAGCCTCATTTGGTACTGCAGCTTCACTTGGGGCCTCACTTGGTGCTGGTGCTGGTGCTTCACCTGGTTCTGAGGATTCACATGGTGCTACTGAGGAAGTAACTGGTGCAGCATTGTTAGTTGGAGCCTCTGCCTCCACAGGAGCAGCCACTTCCACAGGGGCCTCAGCCACTACAGCTGCTGCCTCTTCCACAACCACTGGGGCCTCTGCTGGCTCAGATACAACAGGTTCAACATCAGGGGTGGCAACTTCAGGAGAGGCCTCAACTGGCACAGCGGTCGTCTCCTCAACAACAGCAGGGGCCTCTGCCTGCACAGCCACAACAGATTCAGCAGCAGGGGCTTCCTCTGTAGCCTCAACAAGGGCTTTGACCTCGGGGGCAGCCTCAGCCACTACAGTTTCTACAGGGGCAGCTTCCTCCACAGGGGGGAGTGCCTCCACCACAGCTACAGCAGCCTCAGGTTCAGTAATGGCTTCAGTTGGAGCAGCAACCTCTGGAGCTGGTTCTGCAGGGGTGACAGGTTCTTGCTGTGGCTCAGGAGCAGCCAGGAGGTCCTCCCCAGAGCCAAGATCCTCCTGGGCCTCCAAGGCTATTAACACAGCCTCCGCCTCGTCATCGGCACCCGGTTGAAGATCGTCTGGTAAGGCAGTCTGCACAGGCAACTGCATCTGGTCCTCGATGGTTTGTGCATCTTCTGCGATGATGCCGTTTTTGACTGCTGACAATACACGGATGACAAAAGAGAAGCTTGATTATGATTTACTATTTGCATGTGGCACTTATCAGTCTTCATCAGTCCTTTCAGCTAAAGAGGCCCTGTAACGACATGACAACGCTGAACAACAAAAAAAGCTTTCAAGAAGATTCCTCATTGTATTAAGCTTGAAAATTCTTGGGGGGTCCTTGAGCTAATCTTTGAATTGAATGGTTTTGTTAATAAATGACCACATTTGTCATGAAAACATTCTCATCAGTGTCATAAAATGTGAACCCTAACAAAACCCTAACTGACATTCCATCTAATTTTATTTCTAAACTTTTGCAGAGAATGATAATCTGCAAAAAAATCTGTTTCATCTAGAGATCAACAGACTTAAGCATTACATAAGGCTGATAATAAGAATACATTTTTATGTGCATGTGGACAAGAATTTATATTTAACTCTTGTTTTACTAAACAAATAAAACCATAAATACACCAAAACAACAGCTTGACTGAACATGGAAGGCAGGATAGGAAATAAGGCAATAAGGCACAGAGACTGCCTGCTAGAGAAAACATCCTTTCATTTCCTTGGTTGAAAATATGATTCATTGAAGTTGGTGTTTGCCTAAAGGCCTGAGGACACGCAAGTCACTCTCAGAGGAAATAAAATACACGTGACGATTCTCGCTTGCCTTTGAGGAGACACCCTACGTTTTCCCATTCCCAGACCCCTGCTCTCATAACTGTGGGTGTGAACAAATCATCAGTCTTTGGGTGAAAATACAGTAGATGAGGAACAATAGTAGTAACATCTCAGTTACAGGAATCACAACAGCCTAACAGAAGCTTTTAAAGTGTCTTTCATCACAGTTTCCCTCACTAGTATGTCACAGCTAACCTCTTTGCAAAAACACTGGCTGGACTTTGTTCACAAATGAGACAAGCTGAATGGGTGGATAGTTTGGACGCTGCAGCTTCCTGATTTTATTTGTCTGTCAGAAGTGGTAAAAAGAGCTGAGAGTGATGGGTGGAAGGGAATGTGACGGCCTGGCAACTCACTGAAAGCGAGCCAGTGGAAGAACACATAACACGGAAAAGTTTATGTGAATAGAAATATTTCTAATAATACCACATTTGAGCTAAAGGTGTAAAAGCTTGCAAGTTTTTGGACCGGTGGTTTTACAACCTTAAACGCCTGGCAACAGCTTTTGACTTCACATGCTCTCCTTTTATAGATTTCAAACATGTTCTCCACCAGTCTCCACTTCTTTAAGCAGAAATCCACCTCAAACACCAACTATCATAAAGAAGACAAAGCTGTTGTCTGCACAGAAGGCCAGAAACTGCTGTTGAAAAGTGGGTTTGGGTCGAGACAGAGACAGCCTCTCCAGGCATGGATGACTCGTGTGTCAACATGATTTAGCAGCCAGAGATGACAGAGATCCCAGTCAAAACAGTGCCATGGCTGGCCAAGAGCACAGAGGGGAGGGGAGGGGGGCAGACAGGGGGGCCCGGATAGGGGATGGGACCAGTGGTGGCTTGGATGGCATACAGCTGGTTAGTTAGACAGACTGTACACTGTATGATTTGAACCTCCACCCATTCAGCCACATTTAGAGAAGACTGCCTGGGCAAAGAGTACAATAACTGGTTTTCTTATTGGGGGTGATGTAAGCGGCTGGAAAGGGAGCTGGGCTTCTCCAGGTGACCATAGCTGGCTGGCTGGCTGTAGAGACAATGCCCTGACACAAACATCACACAGTGACATAGTGGAAGATGGAAAAGCTGCACATGAATACAGAGGAACTACTTCACACTTCCCTCAAAAACTATTAGCCAAATCTTTTCCTTATTCAAATTAAATTGTTAACTTGATGTGAGCAATCACACACTCAAAGGAACCCATTCTAACAAGGGCAGCAACTGTGTCATGTGTATGTGTGGGGAGATGCAGTGAGAACATACTGTACATGCAGCCGTGCCTGGCATGACATAGCCATGTGCCAGGAGGTTGGGCCCATGAATGGACAATCATGGTCTGTGTCAGGTCTATTGGTGGGCGTCTACACAGGCTTGAACACAGAGTCCATGCACAGCCAAAGCCCACAGAGCATGACTACATGTTTAGATGCAAGACTGTTTCAGAGCTGGGCTTAGCTGCCCCCATTGCAGAGGAATTTCAGAGTAGCCTGAAAACATTTGGGTTCTTTTCAAAAAGGGAATCAATCTCCTTGCCCCCTCCTCTTTCTCCTTTGCGATCCTGCATCCATTGTGTGAGCTGCAAATTCCTGGAGCGAATTTCAAACACGCCTTATCATGCATACACAGATTATAATCTAAGCGTCTTTTGGGGAAACCCTATGCATACTAACTTCGGAGGTATGAAGACGATTCACACTATCTTTTGGTTCACATCACTTGGGCCTTGCAGAAAATGACGCTCTTTTGTGTGTGTGTGTGTGTGTGTAAAATACAAATCAGACTACTGCACAGTGGCAGAAAACAGGTTGGGTTGCTTGCCGCAAGCTGCAGATAGACCCCTAAACACTCCCAGCTGGCTTTCACACACTGTAGGAGTTGTATCTAAAGTTCTACCAATCTAGGTTTATCTACATGTAAAAGCCCAAGTTAGCTTTATGGAATGAGGTTGACAATTATACAGGATCATACACATCAGCTCCTTCTCAGGTCTCATTTCATCAATAAGTCATGCAAGTTTTTGTCAACACTCTTTCAATAGACATTCAAGCTAGAGATAAAAGACTAAAAATAAATACCAACCACTTTGGGGGGGAAATGGGTGAACATGAATAATTCTCTGCTTGGAAGTACTGTAGTATGCTGTGCAGCAGAGTGGAGTGAGAAAGCACACAGTGTACCAGACCAGCACTCACACACCCCTCAGCAAGACTTGACTCAATGCAAACTTAAAGCAACTACTCTATAGTTCTTGAGGAAATGTATAAATCACATTTCATGCTCCACAGTTAAAACGCACAGAGATAAATGACAATTTAAAAAATTGTATCTTCTATATAGATGATCACTACTTACCCACTGTATCTCCATTGCTCTCCTCTGGCTTTGTACCTGGTCTTTTCTCTTGATCGACAGTCTGTGCGCTGGATGAAGAGCACCCCATGTTTAGAGAAAGAGTTGAGACGAATAAAAATAAACAAGGAACCTATTACAGAAGTAAGACAAGTCCACAAGTGCTCTCTGTTAGCAAAGACAGAGGCTGCCTGGCAGTGAAGACATGGACAGCTACAGCTCTTCAGTTCCTAATAGTAGCTGTGCAACATTATCTCCCCTTGTCTCTTTGTGTGTTTATGCATGGCCTGCTGCCCTCTTGCCCCAGATCTGTTGTGAGAATGCAGCTAAGCAAAGCAGAGCAGAGCAAAGCAGAAAAGAGCAGGCAGTACTGCTGATTGTTCCCTGACTGCCTCCTGCTCACAGTCACACTATTCATACAGGAGGAGGAGGCAAACATGTGCTTGAAGTGAGTGTCCTCCCCTTTATAGGAGGGTCCCCATTGGAAGAGATCCACCACCTGGTGGTAAGGTTTAGGGTAGCACAAGTATAATGTATAATATATGTGTGTATTTATAGTATAGTATTTCTATTTTTGTAGTGTTGGAGCCAGGGAAAGTATGGAGCTCAGATAATACTGGCTGAACAGCTTACATTCATTTCTGTGTGTGTTGTAACAAATAGTAATATAGATCATTGGTTCCCAACCTTTTTCCTTAAGGGACTCTATCATTGAGTAAAGTGACCCCCCCCCTTGACTAAATGACATATTTTATGGATATTTCGTATTATATTCAATTTTCTTTCTTTTTTTTTTTTTTGCAGATTTTCCTGTTCATTGCATCAGAGATGTGTTTTCCTGTTATTGTAGGGACCTTTAATACGATTTTCTGTGTTCTGTTTTTTATTTAAATACCCCCCACAGTTTAAGCGTAATAAAAAGAAAACCCAAATGTGAAGTGTAAAATATTTATTCGTCTGTTTACTGTACAAAGTGTTATTACTTTGATTTGGCATTACATAACAAAGAACATTACAGACAAAAATACATGTGTATAAATAGCAGTAGATTGTATTTGCATATGTGTCAGTGTAGCTCGTAGAGCAGGATTAAAGGGATCCTGTGAATGCTAAACTTCAGGAAAGGCGAGTCTCTGCCTTTCATTTGCGCACAAGCTGATTTTCGAGCGTCTCCAGCTTCTTCGACATGGCTTCAAGTAGGCATGATAAGGAAAGACACAGACTCTTTTTAATAGTTTTAATAACCTCAAGTTATTAAAGCTTACCAGAAAAATTGTTGTAGTCATCTGCAAGTTAAACAATGACACATTGTTTTATATATCACACTGACTCCTATTTTATTTGTTACCCGTGTACAGATGTGAAATTGCTGTAGCAAAAAGGAAGAATTGACTTACTTATAGGTGTGATTGATTGGTCAGAACCATCTCATCAGGATTCATGGATGAGCTAAAAGCTTACAACTTAATATATGTTTTTCAATATGAATTCTGTTTTAAATTAAACAGAGCAAAGTAATATAAACTGAGAAACTTACAGTTAATAATAATATTATCCCTTCACTTTAGTATAATGCAAGTATGTTCCCTCTTCGCTGGTCCTTCATCTCATTGTGTTCAATTTTCATGCAGTTTACAAGAATCTAGAAAGAAATAAAACCCTTAAATTGTGTTTTGTGCTTGGTCCCTGCATGTGTCAAAATTAAGACTTTTTGACACATTTGTTTCTAAAACTAAAGACACCTGGTATTGTCCCCTGTTCTAACTTATATTGAAATGTTTCCCGAAGCAAACATGTTATCAGACCTAATAATAGTTACATACTCTGTTTCTAGGTTGTCCAGGTTAAAAACAGTGCATACATATTGTTAGTCTCTTCACTAGCATCACAGTCTGCATCCTCAGAGACAGTTACACAGACTGAAAACTGTAATCACATTGTGTTTTTTCTGTTGATCTCTTTAACAGTGAGTAAATGTTGCTGTCTATTTATTTGCACTGGAGAATTGCAGAGGCAAATTTCCCCAAGATTACCAAAAAAAAACCCTCAAACATATTGAATGATACTGTAACTCTGGAGTCGACAGTTATTTAGAAAAGGATATTATTCTGCACCAGGTCCTTCAGCTTCTCAGTGACCTGGTTTTGAAACATGATCACATTCTCACACTGGCACATGTTTTCATCAGATGGTTTCTCTGTGGGAAAAGAATAAATAAGATGAGAAGGTCCTCCTGTCCTTGGATCTGTTTATTTTTCTCTTACCTCCCCTATCTTACCCTTTTCTTCCCCCTATCTCTTCTAATCTCTCCCTGCAAGTTTCCCTTCCTGTCTCTGATTGTAGAGCAAAGAAAACTGCACACTGCTGCTGCCTGAAACAATGTATAGAGTTTGTGCTTGACAGTGACGGTAGCGGCAGCAGGTGGCACTGATGCGTCATTTTAATGGAAGAGAGCATTTTAAGGAAACTGGTCTGTAAGACTGAACTATTGGTAATCTGACTTTCTTATATATTTTAACACAATTTTGGAGACCTGCTTGGTGGGTTGAAGCTTCTTTTAGTTCAGGTCAAGTAAAGTACCTTTACATATCCTGGACTTGAGCTTCTTTGTTATTTCTCCCATGTTCTCAAAATCTTCGGCGTAATAAAGGTGCTTCTCATCAGGTTCTGAAGCTATTTCTCTCAGCTCCTGTTCAATGGCTTTGCCAACACCCAAAGCATATATTGTGACCCCTGGAAGCAACAGAAAACAAGATAATAAGAGGAAACTCCCAATAGAGAGGATTCAGTTTGATTAAACACTGTAGTGCATCTGAATGGCAAGGCAAGATAATAATAACCAGATAATATGATAAATAATGATAATAACCAGAGTTCTTTGCTTTATTAGCCCATTCAGACACATCATCCTGCGATCTTCCATCAGTAAACACAATGCTGACACGTGGGATGTTCGGCCTGGCTCCTTCTTTAACTGAAAAGCTGAACTCAAACATGTGACGTAAGGCTGAGCCAGTCATGGAGCCTCTCCCCATGTACTGCATCCGGGACACAGCCTGCTTGATGGCCTGCGCTGTGGTGTACTGGCCCAGGGTGAACTCTGTGCGCACCTTGGTGGAGTACTGAAGGAGGCCAACATGTGAGCCCGGCCTGGAAATGTCCAGCGAGTCCACAATGCCGTTTACAAACTGCTTGACCAGCTCAAAGTTGGCAGGGCCCAGACTCTTAGAGCCATCGATTACAAAAACCAGATCCATGACTCCATCGCCACACTCTGGCTCTGTCAGAAAAGGACATCAAATACAAGGTAATGGCATCAAGTGGCTTCAAGGTTCTACATCAAACTTGTATAAGTTGCATACTGGACTAGGGGTTCTATAGCACAGAAAGAGATCATACTTTTGCAGCTCTTCCCATCTTCAGCCAACATAAATCCTTCAAAACATTTGCAGATGTAGGAGTCAGTGGTGCTCACACACTGGTGTTCACAGCCATGGTCCACAGTCTGACAGAGGTCCAGACCTGTGAGTTTCATTATAGAGACATTTAAGAGCCAAAAATATGTTTAATTTGTTAGATACATTGTGAAAGGCACTGAGTTTTTGGAATTTGCAATCATGGAAATATGTATTCTTAATTGCATGTTATTGTAAGTGTAAGTCCTCTGTCAACATTATTATTAGACTAATAACTATCTGAAGACATGAATTCTGCATGCTGGTAAACAAAAACACAGAATATCCCCTTAATCCGCTGGCAGGGATTAAAACTGACCTCACAACTGGTCCAAAATTCATTCAAAATTATGTAACGTTCAAATACCCAAATGGGACAGAAACGGTCATAGCAACATTGCTGATGAAAGAATATATTTAGAATTTTGTTCACTTTGCCTCACATATTATCAATTGTCCTTTTTATTTGCAATACATTTAAATCAGGGATTTCTTCACTGATCTACAGTTTAGGATGAATTGAAGACTCTCTGCTACAAAACTTACACCGTTGACTGTGTGTCATCTCTTGTAAGGCGATTCTATTTTAGTGTCTCACATCAAATCATTGCTCTGCTAAATGCTCATGACAGTGAATGAGCTTGGACTCACTTTGACATGTTCTTCCATCAGGTCGGAGTGTGAATCCATTTCTGCATTTACACACGCAGGAGTCTTCTGTGTTCATAAACTCCTGTTCACAGCCGTGTTTCCCTTCAGCACAATGGTCTGTCTCTGCAGCAAACAGTTCATCAATACAGACAGGATAGGGGAGTAACAGACCTTTTTCACAGCAGCCATTCTGACATAAAATAGAAGGGTAAACACAACTATTTCATGTCAAAATGCTGTGAAAAGGGTCTATTGTTCAGACACTAATGATTTAAGTTACATACAGGTTTGAGGACATCTAAGATAGCTACTAATATATGTAACATTACATGTGATGTAAACCAGTAAGACATTATTATGAAAGAAATCTTACCAAGATAATAATAAGAAAATCTGTCTTTTGTTAGAATAAGAGGAAAGAAACATCAGACACTCACTCTTGCATTTTTTCCCATCAGGCCTGAGTGTGTAGCCTTTCCTGCATTTACACACACAGGCATCTTCTGTATTCATAAACTCCTGTTCACACCCGTGGGTGCCATCAGCGCAGGGATCTATCTCTGCAGGAAATAGTTGGTTTATCAGGTGAGGTACGATTAAGGAGTAATTACTTAAAAAACGTTCTGGTACTCATTTGTGCATTGAAAGATCAAACAGATTCTATCAAATGTACCAAGAACATTTTCTGTATGTTCCTGTCCTGCATTCTTCATATTGTTCCATTGTATCCGTGAGCACAAACAGAGGAAATCTAACTCCAGACAGTTAAATATTCTTGAGGCCTAGACCTAAACATAACAACTTTGTATGTACAGCCCCTCTGTCCTGTAAGAACATCTCAAGTCTTACAAAAAGTTATAAATCAGGTTTCTTCTTATACAATGTTTAAAAAATGCTGTAGTAAAGGAAATCCTACCAGATAGATCTGCGCCTTCCCAGTATTTTGTTTGTGGTGCTAAACAAAAGTGTTAAGTTCCAGTGTTGAACCCATGATGAACAACCAAAGGCAAAAAGGGTAGCCTCAGCACGCTCTGATGAAGGCCATCAGGCGGAAATGTTAGCATGTTTTTTTTATGTGGGCCAAAATAAATTGGTGAAACTAAAATAAGCCAACTTCGTCCTGAAATCTCTCTGTGTGTGTGTGTGTGTGTGTGTGTTACCTTCCATGCATTTGGGTGTCCATCCTGGATTCAACATTGAAATCCTGCTAGAGTTGGGACCGATCTGATACAGTATCGGTATCCTGTGCCGATACAAATGTAATTATCAGAGATGGGACTGATGTCACTGATCCACGTACCGATCCAGATTCCATTTTACTACTGTTAATATATGTGTGTGAGGATCAGCGAGATATAGAGATGGAGAGAAGGAGACAGGGTAAAGACTGAAAGAAAAGAAAATAAGTCACAGTAAGGAAGTGAAAATAAGCATCACTTACTCTTGCATGTTTTCCCATCAGGCCTGAGTGTAAAGCCTTCTCTGCATTTACACACACAGGAGTCGTCTGTGTTCATAAACTCTTGTTCACACCCGTGGGTGCCATCAGCACAGTGATCTATCTCTGTGTGACATTAAGATTGAAGCGTTGTTAACACTGTCAACAAGTGAAAATTCATGCCTTTAGAAGATACTAATCAGTATCTGGGGCAACTTAAAGAAAGCCAGCCTGAAATCCTTTTAGCATTATATTTCAGTATGTTACTATAAAGTGACTGTGTGACTGTCATTTTACCTGATGTCCACAAGAAAAAAGCACTTACTGCTGCAGGTCTTGCCATCCAGATTGAGCACGTAGCCCTTCTTACACCTGCAGATGTAGGACTCTGGGATGCTGACACAGTCATGCTCACAGCCATGGTTCCCCAGGTCACAGTAGTCTATTTCTGAGGAGGATTAATCTCTTATTAATGCAACAGTACTCCCTCTTCATGCTGTTCTACTGCTTCCAGCAACACCTATGCTGTCTTTATCATTGCATCTTCCTCTACTACTAGTACTGTATCTATAATTATAAGAATGAATATACCTAGTATACAATAAATAAGAAAGTATAAAAAGTGTGAGAATGTTAAAAAAAAAAGTAACTGTAATTCACTCTTTAAAAATCTAAATCCACTCTCAGAAAGGCTCTTGGTAAAGAAGTTCTGTGAAGTAAGGACAGAAAAGATCAAACAGTCATTCTTGTTTTGATTCGGTGAAACTATGACACGCTGCGTACACCTCCACACTTCAGCAGCTGCTCTGATGATTGCAAAAGCACACTTCCTCCAGGAAATCTCCCCCTCTTTACTTTCTGTTAACATCCACCAGAGGAGCAAAGGGGATCTTTTCCAACAGTGGGTGGAAGGGACATCAATGGCAGGAAGCATGCTGGCTCTCATTTGGATTGGAGGTTCAGAATCAAACACATGAGCACAAGTCTACTTCAGTACATCGGTTTTACTCACCGAATGCATCCGGCTAGGGTCCTTTATCCATAAAATAATGTTGAAAAATATTTTGAAAAAGATGATGGTAATGTTGTTTTGTATACTTAGTAGTATTTATCAATTATGTCACATGACTGAATGATGGACTGTATAAGGAATCAAAGACATCCTCAGACACCACCCTGATGAAGGCGAGATATAAGACCTGCAGAGTAAAGCATGGTGTACTGGAGAAAAGTTGTGCAAGGGTTTGAGTGGTTTAAGGAATTAAATAACCTCACTAAGAAAGAGCAGCTGAAAAATATCCTCATGTGTATGCAACTGCGTAGGTTTAGTTAAGGTAGTTCAGGTTAGTTCAGGTTATTGCTCATACAGATACATATTAAACTGTAGAATACAGTAACAAAAAAGAAGAAGTGAAGGAAGAGGCTATGGTCACTATGAAGAAGGAGGAGAAGAGAATTATTATTACTGTTGCACGTCTTCAGGTCTATGTTGAGCTCATATCCTGGACGGCAGCGGCACTCATAGCCATCGGGTATGTTGGCACAGATGTGGTCGCAGCCATGATCCACCACAGCACACATATCCTCAGCTACAGAGTGACAACGGGAAGAGAAATCCTACTGTCATTCACAGTGGAGTGCATTGAAAATGACAAAGATGGGAGTAAAAACGGTTGTAGGCTGGAAAACCAAAACAGCTAAAAGACGCTAAAACTCTCATGAAGCAGATGGAAACTGCAGAGTCCTGTGATAATTCTTTGTTTGTTCAACACTAACAGTGATTTCTTTTACATACAAGTAGTCACATGATCCATTGTTGATGTACAAATGTAGATTTTACCTGCTTCAAATGTCCTGTGTGAAACCTTTAAGAGGATCTATTGCATGTGGAATTGGAGATGGAATATAATATTCATAGGAATGTTTTCATTACTGTATTATCGCATGGAAACAAGAATATTGTGTTTTTGTTACCTTTGAATGAGCTGTTTTTATCTACAGGGGGGCGGGTCCTTTTCTACGGAGGCTGCCATGTTTCTACAGTAGCCCAGAATGGACAAACCAAACAATAACTCTAGAAAGGACCTTTTGTGTTTTTTGCAGCCACACTCAAATTCTCCTCCACACTTGGCACAGCAGTGGTATTCATTTGGTTGTAATCTGCAACTTCACCACTAGTTGCCACTAAATCCACACTGGAGATCTACTACTAACAGGTGAACTGCAATGTATCTTCTGCCCAAAGGAATCAATCCAAAGTGAGGAAACAAAAGCAATTTCTAGTTTTGCAATCCCCTTAAGTCATCCCCCTCATCATGTTACCTGTGAGAAAGTGAAGCTGCTTTGTGAACAAAGAAGACTGCGGTTGCACAAGGCAGCCTTGAGGGATGAAATCTGTGCAAATGTAAAAAAGACTGTAGCAGTGAAAGAAAATTAGTTTCTTTACCTTTACATGTCTTGCCATCTGGGTTAAGGGTGAAGCCTTTCCTGCACTTGCACCTGTACGACGCTGGGCTGCTCACACAGATGTGCTGGCACTGATGGTCCACCACCTCACACATCTCTGAACCTAACACATGCATGCAGACACACAAACACAGATGTTCAAACAAAAGGGTGCAAACACACATGCATGCATAAGTGAGGAGGGACATTGGAATGAAAATAGAAAATGTAGATGGGATTCATCACCTCCACACAGTTTGGACTGAAACACAGAGATGAGGGTTTCGATCTGGCTAAAATTGGCCACCAGGTGCACATGCTCAGAGTGTGGCTCACTCCCTATGGTCTTCAGAGTGTCCATATCCACCCTGCCCACTCCAATAGCAAAGATCTGGATGCCGGCCTGCCTCGCCTGAGCTGCAATCTCCTCCACCGTATCCTGAGGCCGACCATCAGTCACAATCATAGCTATTCGTGGGATGTGCAGGTTAGCTGGTCGTGCTCCATCTTCCTCAGTGAAGGATGTCTCCATGGTGTACTCGATGGCCAGACCAGTCATTGTTCCTGTGGCGAGGTGCTTCATGTTCTTCACCGCCTGCTCCACCTCAGCTTTGGTGGTGTAGGTGTTGAGGGAGAACTCGGGCTGAACGACACTGCCATACTGGAGCAGACCGACCCGAGTGGCATCATGGCCGATCTTGAGGAACTGAAGCAGATTGATGATGAAGGTCTTGACCTTCTCGTAGTCGTGGGGGCGGATGCTTCGGGAGCTGTCGATGACAAAGACGAAATCCAGCGGGATGGCTTTGCAAGTGTTCTCTGTAACCAAAGACATAGAGGTTTGTGATCAGGGGACCAAATACTCCAACGTACTCATAGCTCAGTTTGTGCCAAAATCTAAACTTTATTCTAAAAACCTGTTTGAAATTGTTTATTAGAAATAGACAAAAGTGCAGCTAGCAAAACAAACATTTTTGTCACCAACTGATCACTTACCCACTGCTTTGGTTTGGGAGGTAGTCTCATTTCGCCCTCTGGCCATGATGGGTCTGGGACGCCGTCTGTCCAGTCGGACTGCGTTACAGCACAACAGGCAGAAGAGGCCGAGGGCCAGGGACCTCATTCTGACAAGTGGAGACAACTGCAGCCTTTACAGAGAGATGAGGGCACAATAAAAGCAGACAGAAAAACTCCCATAATGCACCGCAAGAAAAATACAAGCTTGCATCGAAGAGAGAAGCAAAAAGGCAAGAAGGGAATATCCAAAAACAAGAAAATCTGCTTCAATCCTAGGGTTCTGAAAAACTTTATGCGGGTCTCATAAGCACTGATGTATTGCATAATTTTTTTATGTTCACCACCTATGGCATTAGATTTTGCAACTGTAATCTAAGTTTGGCTGACTTTGTGCAATTAAAAAAAGTTAAGACAGTCTATGGCTGCAGCCAGAAGAATGTAAGGATGTCGTTTGATCAGATTTGATTGACAGTTCTGGCAGAATAAGAAAATGATCCATCACCACATTTTTACTGAAATGTTGCTAAATCCTGATTGGTTTACAGAAATATGCGACACCTCACAAACCAGCTTTTTTGAACCGAGCCTTGCCCACTTCAAACCAATTAGAAAAACACACAAAATGAAACTGGTCTAACTTTGGTAGAAAATGTAACTTACTCATAGCGCGAAACTGATTGAGAAAATAGGACCTATTATTTGTCTTGAATCTTTTGATTATGAACAAAAATGTAATGTGCTTACAAATGGCCACATTGTGGCGTTATCTACACCAAAAAACTAATTCTTCTTGCTATTCCTATTGTCCCATTGTCTAATTATACACCAAATTTCACTGAAATCTGTTAATAATTTGTTGAAATATGCGTGTGAACAGACTGGTGTCTGAAACAAATATAGTAAGTCTGTGTCAGTAAGGTGACTAGTGAAGTGCTGCATTTAAGTTAATGATGCAGAGCGATATAGATAGGTAGAACTTTCACCTCCTGCATATTTGACCTCCGCAGCCTCAGATTTCACATTTTAGTGTGTATACATGTAATGAACACAGCATTGCAGAGGTTTTCTAGAGACATGGGAAAGAGCACATTTAAAATGACTGTAAATTGAACATATTTACTTAACTATTTATGACTGCGGCTCATTTTGGGCTCTGTCTCTAAACCAGTGTGGGCTACACATGTCAAGTTGTCAAGTTTTGCCATCTGCAAACACATAAAGTCGACAAAACTCCATATGAATGAGCTTTTGGATGTTGTGCTGCATAGGTGGTTTAAAGTGATTTAAGAGAGTACCACAGACTGTTTCCCTATCCAGTCCCCAGGAGAGCCATTCCTTTGACTACCTGTCTTATTCAGACTGCGGGCTCTACTGCTGTCTGAAACCTATCTGTGAACAGAGTAGAAGTTGCAAATATATCTACATTCAAAAACGAAATGACGTGGTACTGGTCATATAGCACAAATCCTTGTTCTAAGGTAGCATGCTGTCAGAATTTCAGGATTTCTTAATGGAGTTCTGATCATCTCATCTCTGTTCAGGGTGATGACACTGACTCAGTGGTCAGTCTGTTTGCAGCTCAGGCAGACGAACAGTCCCACACAGACATGTATATGGTAGCAGCTGGCCTGAACCCTGCAGGGGTCACATATCCATGTTGCATCCCACAGAGTTGTCAACCTCTGACCTTACATCTGTTTGATGTCTCTCTGCCACAGGTCTGACAGCGTTTTCTTCATCGACTATCGATCAGTAAAACAAATGTACAATCTATTAAGTGCCATATATCTCCATACTGTGCCACAGTGCCAGACTTAAATGTTCCTCACTTTCAAAATGTGTGAACAGATGATTCACTCAATATTTAGACCATTTGGAAAAAGACATTTTCTAAAATACTATGTCTGGGTTAAAAAAGAGAGAAGGAAAGAAAGCATGACAACATGTATCATTTTTGTTATTTTCTTTTAAATATGAATTATTTCAGTGATTTCATACATTTTGGGATTCCATCACAGGGCAATCGCTCTCATATTTCCTCAGGAGTTAAAGCCAAGGCCAAGTGTTTACTATGAAACAGCATGTACCTAACTGTCTTTTATAGGACCTGATCTCTGTTTTGCACATTTCCTTCACCTTTGATGGCTTTTCATGATGCAGGTGATGGAAACAAAGATGTCTGAAGTAAATACAGAATACAGGTGGCAGCTGGTGTTCCCACTTTGTAACATGTTTTTAAAAAAGTTCAGGAAAAAGTTGTCTAAAATAAGATATTCCAAGTATGCTAGTGCAGTCTGCAGTGCTCCATCAACTGAACAGACTCATGATATCAGGAAAATAAATCAAAAACTACATACCTTGTTATTGAAACCAACAATTCCTCAACTCCTATAATCAATGTTTCTCAATAAATCCCAGCACTGGGTCAAGAGAGGAGTTCCAGCAGGAAGAATGTGTTAATCTAGTAGCTCCTGGCTGTAAACATGCATGTATCCCAGCACTCTGTCTTTTTGTATGTGTCCAGGCACATGCATTGCTCTGCCCCTTACTCCATCCACTCTGTTTCTGTTTACTCCCACTCCAACCACGGAGACGCCTCTAGTTCGATCTCAGTCTGTTGGTAAAATAGCAACTCTGTGGATACTTTTCCGAATATATAGCTAAAACTGGACCTCTTATCCTTACATATTCAGAAATTCAGAAATTGAAACATTTAATTTTAAGATCTAGGCTGAGTGGGCATTCAGGCTCATGCTCCACAGTTTGTTCTTACATTAAAGAATGAAGAGTTTAACCTAGTCAGTTAAGGGACATTGAAGACATTCAATTCAGAGATTTAAGGGATCTTTTACATATTTTAAATGGTGTGTGTACAAATCATGGAACTTTGTATACTATCTATTGGGTATAGCTTTTGTTTTCATTGTTTCACATTTGACTTTGCACTGAAATTAAGGAATACAATTTCTGTTTTTACTTCGTGTAAAGGCTTAATTTTAAAGGATCAGAATCTGCATGTGTTAGATTTTACCCATGTTGTAAGCAATGATGTGACAAAGCAGGGGTGTCAGAGGTTTAACATGTTTAAAGTATTTCCTCCAAGAGAAAACACTGTTCCTGTATATTGCCCTGCAGTCTAATAGGTCCCAGCCACTGTGAAAGAGGTGTATTGTAATTTTACAAGTGATGCTTGGATGAACTCTCCACATCCCCATTTGAGCAGCAGTTTATGGAAAGACCTGGTAAGTAGACTCATCATAGGTCCAACCACTCTGGGGGTACCTGCCTGCCACACAGTGAGCACATTTATACACAGTCACCTCTTAATAATAGTTTCCAGGGGCACATCTGTCCTTTGGGCTGAGCAACAGCAGAAACAATCAGAAACATATTCTCTGCTGATATCACAGAATAACTTTTGAGTTGTGTAAGTGTAAACTTTAAAAAATAAATTAAAAATAAAACACAAACATCTGTCAGTGATATTAGATTTTAATAGACAAATAAATGTCACATCTTTTTTTTCATACAGCAGCAGTCCTTGGGTTTGACTCTTGTGTCCTTGCAGGACATTTTGTGTCCAGGGAGCAGCTTGCCAATAACTGCATCTGGTGGAACAGACTTGTGTGTTTACACGGACCAGAAGCTCTCATTGGCCTAATTGAAAAAACACAACCAGGGTCCATATTTACTGAGCTCCTGAACGTAGAGACCTCGAGCAACTCATTCATGAAGACTCCAAAGAGCAAACTGATTCCAGATCAGTCCTACTTCTGTGCTGTCAAAATAGATAAATAGCAGACCGAGACATCGGCTCGTCAATCAGTAGAAACGCACTAATACATTTAAAAGTTATGAAGCTCAACTCAACACTCCTGATTTTTATAACACAAGACAATCCTGTCTGCAGTCGAAGAAGGTGATATGTTCAATGTACACTAGGTTGCTCTTTGATCATGTCAGAATACAGGCAGATGCGTTTCTTTGGGAAAAACTTCCATTCAAGGTGACACTTCACACATGGATCTATAGAGGACACCCCGTCAGAGAGAAAGTCATGAATAAAGGCAATCCAACCATGATCACGAGCAGAGACAAGACAGACAGGAAACACGTGACGACTCTTCACTCATTACTGCCGGCAATAAGATCATAAGTCATTTTTGCATTTGTGCATGAGTTAAATATGTCTATCAAAGGTAGGACACATAAAATACTGTTACATGTACATACACAGCTTTAAGTAGAATTAATAAAAATATATAGAATCTATCTATCAAACTTTCTTATTACAACCAGGTTCAAATGCATAAAAATGCACATCATTTCTGGAATTATACTGACAGAAACAGAATAAATACATGGAAGAGTTACAGTATCAACAATATGAATAAATAACAGGAAGGGATGAGAGGTCACGGTGGTGGTAGAGGTTCGTGCGTGTGCATATGTGTGTGTGAGATGATTTTGTATGTGTCAGTGCATGCATGGCTGTACTGTAATGTGTGTATAGCAACAATATACCCATGAATATACTGTACACTGGAGAGGCAGTGTGGTGCATAAATTTCATTAACAGCAGGGTCCAGTCAGCAGGATGCTGGGAATGTTTTCATGCTGTGGTGTAAGGTGGAGGGGCCTGCTTGGGAGGGACGCTGACACTGTCGTCATACGGAGGCAGCAGCACCTGGACATAAAGAGGAAAAACAGATTGTGGTTAGTATGAGTTGTTGTAATTCAAAATCAATGGAGTAAATCTAGTGCAGAATTATGATAAATCTGTCAGTGTCTGAGCCTGTTTGTGTTAAAGTTGCATAATATTATACCAGCTTTGGTGTAAACCCAAACAGGAGAATTAAAGAGTAAAAACGGTATTATGGATTAAGTGAAATGTTTTAATGGCACAGAGACCATTTTGATTTCCTAATAAATAGGCTAAACTATCAGATTTCAACCAAATATGATTATGTAACATGTTCAACTGAAGTATGTAGGCAAGCCAACGTTATTTGTATGGAACATTTCAAACACAGAGAATCAAACTGGTGACAGGAAGCATTATGAGATTAAAACAACAGACTACCGTAAAACAACTGATCGTCCATGCTTTTATTTCCTTTAATACTGGAACTCAACCTTCCGTTATTTGGGACAGGCCTTTAATTCTTTTTGCACAAAACTCTTGCTCAGCAAAGATGAGAAGTACTATTAAAATGTTTATTTGAACCAGTATGAATGTTACACGCATAAAAATTAGGAGCAGGTACGTACATACCTTTTCTCTAAAGGGAGGGGAGTTTAGAGATAGCACAGGAGGTCTTCTGTTGTTTTCTCTAAATTTATAATTAATTTAATCTTTTCCTTGCAAGATTTGTTAAGAAAAAGGACAGTTACATTAAAATAGTTATGTCCAAAAAAGGCCTCAGTCAAGCAGTGAACGCGTGTTTCAAAAAGCAAAAAGCACATGCAGTCCATCTTGAATAATGTGGGCGATGAATAAGATAAAGGATACTATGACATGTGAAAAAAACAAAGCAGGTGGTGGCATCCAATTTTAGTTTTAAAGCCGTATACAGACTGTCCATCTGCATCACAGAATAGTCAGTTTTCTGTAGGAAAAACTCTCTGCTCAGTGCTGGGAGTACTGTTACTTGATAGATGACAGATGTAGAAGTCCCACCGTGAGGAAAGAAAATTAGGAAGTGACAGCCTGTTTTTGAAAGATCTCTGATGTTCCCCTGTAGGTTCACACTCCCAAAAGCTGAAATCTGTCTGTGAAAAATGTCATTCAGCCACTTTTCTCAGGTTTGCCAGAATAAACCTGTTCACACATCTTTCCCAAGAAAGCCCTCAGTCTAATGTGTGAATCTAACCTTCCTCTCTGCTCGTCTCTGACTCAGATAATCAACAGCAACCATGAAGCAGAGCTAAGGCTGTGTGGAGACAGGACATCTTAAATGTGACTCAACAGCCTTTCTGGTTTTGCTGTTGACACCGTGGCTAACAGACTCGTAGGCTCTCTCAGTGGTTCAGTTGACTTCATATACAACAACACCATGTGTCTGACCTGTGTCTCCCATATTTTAAACAATGAGCCATTGAGGGTTTCAGTCCACACAGGCAGACTCGCTCTTTCCTCTGTAAAGGTGAACCATGCTGATCTTTTAAGAATGACACGGGCATTAAGGAATCAATAGCCTTTAACAGCCTCTATTAGTGACTAGATCCTCCTACACAGATCAATGTCTTGAACTGTAGTGGCGTGTAATTGACAAAAACAGCACACATGTTCTCAGAACTGGCTTTTAAGGGCAAAGATCCAAACAGAAATGTCTAGTGGATATACAGCCACTCAAAATATTGTATTAACTACACCTCTTTGTCATTTGCTTTTCTTGGCTTTTGTTCTTCTTTCACTTCTACTACTGATGTTGTAAAGTTGATAATGTGAGAACAAAGAACAGTTTGTTCCAGTACTGGCTAGAAATTGACTTTGAAAGCCAGGATCATCAGAGCAGCTGGCTAATTGACGGTGTGACGCAGTGAGAAGAAACTTAAACAACAATGGCGGTTGCTAAAGAGGTTAGCGTCAATGCTGCTGGCATCCGTTATATCAGAACTGGTGAGTATTTCTTCATTGAAAGAAGAGCACAGAATGGCACTGAGGGCTTTTCTCAATGGAAAAGATGTTTTGTCCCGACTGGCTTTGGTAAGGCTCTCTTCCAAACAGTTTCCAATGATGACTTCCCAGATGGTTCTGTGCAACAGACCTGAGGTTATATTGTTGCTCTCTGCCATCTAATACACCTGACTGTGTGGGTGTGAGTGAATTTTGTGTACGTCCAGGAATTCAGCTCATATGGAACGCATTAGTGGACCTTTGACCTAACCACTGTATAACTGATATATAGCCACGCAAGCTGCTAACCAAAAGCCACGAACCTGCCTGCGGTCTGTGGGGAGCTCTAATTGAATAAGTCTGGCTCAAAGTGAAAAAGCATACCTGCAGAGGTGAGGCTAATGTTAGGAAATAAAGGGGCAAGCTGCTGTTTTTCTGGGACTTTACGCCAATGATGTCAGCGAGCTGGAGAGCGGCATCCTGTTTCTCTCTTTATAGCTCAGGTGTTTTACCCATCAGGAGCCTGTGGACGTTTCTGTTTCTTAAAACCCCCAAAACATCACATAAAGCCACGCAGTGTATAAAGCTGTCGAATGTGGTGAATTGTTTCAAATTGTGTGTATTGTTACACTCAGGAGTCTTTTAAGCTGCAGACTGAAGAGTACAGTTTCTCAAAATACCTGTGAAACCCAACATATTGCGGGGTTAAATAGCAGTCAGTGGAGCCACAGCTCCTTATGTGTTATGCTGAAAGAAAATATTCTCACAACTTAACTGTTCTGCATTTTGCAATAGTCAAAACAGGCTATCAGGGTTGCTTCAGCCTCATTTTTCTTCTCTCTTCTGTCAAAATCTAAGCAGTTATAGTAAGTGTGTGGGCAGCATGGTTACAATGGTCAGCATGCCAGACCCGGGCAACAGGACACCGACAGAAGTCCCACTCAGACAGAGCTCCCTTACTGTACTACTACTGTTCCTCAGCCGCTTTATAATGACTTTGCCAGCACGGAGCATCAACTCTCTGTCCAAGTCTGTTCATTCATCCACGCTAGCCTGCGTAAAACTACCTGCTACAACTGCCCAACTTTATACTTCCTTCCTCCGCCAACATGATGACTTTACAGTTGTTGAGCAGAGGAAACCTACGCAGACGGTGAAAACGTGACTTGAGGTCTGGATTGAATAAGGAAATCATTTTTCCACAGGGGTTGTTATTGGAAGTAGAAGAAAGCAGCAAATCAAGATCAGATATGGTTTTATGTTGGATCTCTGGATAGCAATATAGACATAAAGGATAGTTTAGTTAGTCTGAATATGGCAACATGTTGCACACATGCACAGTGATAAATTGTTTTCTTATGTACTCCTCTTCACTTCAACATTTCATTAATATCTGCTGACTTCATCATTTCAGATCATTTGGTTTGGAAGTCCAACATCTTAATCTGTTGTGGAAATATTTCTCTTACAGTTAACACTGACAAAAGTATTTGTTCAGCTGTACACTGCGCGTGAGGAATGTGCTCAGACGACTGTGGAGCTTTGCATGAAGACGTTTGTAACAGCTCATTGGAAAATGTGATTAACATTCACACAGGTGGTCTGACAGGAAAAAAACTTTTGGCAGACAATTAGTTTTTTTCTACTGGTTTTGTTTAATTGTAGTGCAACTTCCCAGAAAACTGAACAGCTAAACACAGCACAAACTGAGCCCAATGTCAATGCTCTTCCATCTTCTGTTTAACAGATAAGTCTGGAGATATTCAGCTTTTTTCTTATTTTCAACAAATCCCACGAAGAGATCAAAACCAACAATATTTTATCTTACTAAAAAGTGTTGCCTGTTCAACCGAAGCCTGATATTTGTTGATATGATATGTTCTGTGCCATAAAGCTCCATTATTGTCCAAAATGTAAAATCACCAATGAGCCACACCATTGCAGTGACATGTTCCTTCATTGCCATGAAAGTGGACATTATTTTGACTCAATCCTACATATACACTGTCCTGCTGCCCTAAACACTCAGTAGTGTATTACTCTGCTGATGAAAATACTTTTTTTTCCCCCTAAATTTAATTTATATTGTTTCACAAAGAACAAAGACAGAAAGACAGGGTAATACTGATGTCATCATGGTGATATGAGTCTCAAGGTAGAAAACAGATAATCAGAAGTGACTTACCGTGGTGTCATTGGTGGTGACATAGAGCAGGATTTCAGAAGTCCCCCGGCTGCTCACATACCTGTAGCAGTTCCACACACAGGCTATCAGGTAGGCCTGATATCAGACAGAAAGAGGACAAAAACAGATTAGAGGTTTGAACTGCATGACGTCAATATCATCTATTATTTAACAAAACCAGACATACAGTATTTTGGTCTAAGTAAACACATTCATCTTCACATGACTACACACAAATGGATATTAGCCACACTATTGGCATGGTTCTGGACGGCAGCAATGGTGTGTCCCGCTCCACTTTCGCCACGACTCAAATATCTCAACTATTTAATGGATTGCCATTTAAGTTTGAACAGACATTCGTGTCCCTGTTAGGACGAGTTGTGTAAGGTCAAAAATCTAATCTGTCCAATACTACCTCAGCTTTGTGGCTTGAGCTAATGATCACGCTAACACGCTAAAATAAGAGGCAGAACACGGTTAACATTACAACTGCTAAATATCAACATGTTAGCATACTGATGCTAGCAGGGAGCTCCAAGCACCACTGTGCCAAGTACAGCCTCACAGAGCTGCTAGCATCAATCTTAGTATAGTTAAAGTGTATGAACAGATTTTCCTCATTATTATGCAAATGTGTGAGCCAAGGTGTTCCAAAATATAATTGGGTTATCTCATCCCCAGAGACGCTGTGGTGTAAGTGTCATGTATTTTCTGCACACAGACACAGATGGCACCATGAAACATGTGCATTGTGTCTCATAGTGCATGACAGACTGTAATAAAAGTATGTTACCCAAATAAACTCTCTCTAACACTGAAAAAAAACTCGCATTAAATACAGATAATAATCCATTCTCTCTCTTGTTAAATTCAGTCTTTAGAGTTTTTTAGATTTCAGAGTAGCAAAAACAAGTTCCTGTTGTTCTCCGTCATCCAGGAATCATCTGGCCCTCAGCAGGCAGCTTGCTACTGGAACTCCCCGGCCAAACACAACACCATCTGCTATAGCCATCCACCAGCACAAGCCAAAGCCAGACTGAGCTCTCGAACTTCTATAATAAGCCAATTAAGAAACCACTTTGATGCCCTGACAGCTAGGTTATTTTAACAGCCCCCACGGGAACATGCAGAGATCCATTTGTAGCTACAGAGATCACTCAATTTAGCTCCCAGTCTGCTGCAAATGGCACTGACAGTGTGATAATCATGCTGATTGCACAAAGCCAATCATTCCATCAGTCACAAACTGTTGAACCTCCAGATTCTGAGGGTACTACACAGGGTTTCCAATGTCCTCTATGGATGGCAGTTTAAACCATGTTATCAACTGCTGCTATCAAAATAAGTCTGTCCTATAACCTCAGACTTAATATTGGTTATTACAAAATACAAACGTATTGCTTTGAGCTAAATGCTGGCATCAGCATGCCAACATGCTCACAAAGTACACTCGAGGCTGATGTGAATGGCATTAGATTTGAAGATATTTGGTCATAAACCAAGATTTGAACAAATTCCAATTTTGACCTGATTATCTGGGAACCATGAATGTCTGTAGAAAACTTTAAACCAAGGTGGTGGTACGAAGTGAAAAGTCACCAAAGTTGTTTCATTCTTGTGACAAGTAATTTGCCACTGTGATATTAAATATTTTGGGTTATGTAGGAAAGCCACTAGCAACAAACCAAGCTAAGTGTTAGTAGATCCATTCTGCCATCAGCGCTCATTATTTTATTAGCCTATTACACAGCCGACGTGTTGAAATGTCACAGCAGGAAAAGCCCAGACAAAACAGTTAAATTAATGATCTCTGAATTCCATTTAGCTGCTTAAGTGTCAGAGTCTTGGTATTGTGCATGCTGGTTCACTGTCACACTTTGAATAGAGCCATCGTTAATGTTGTCATTAGTGCTCTTCCTCCTATAAAAAGTCAAAAATGTCTGCTGTGAAAAGCCTATTGAGCGGAATTGCTGAAAACCTCCCAAGATAATATTAGAGGCCATCCCATGGGGCTCCCATAAAAATAATCATAACTTTTTAGGTCTACATCTGTCAGAGTTGGTGAAAGCAAATCTATTTCCACTCTACTTAAGTCATCATAAAGTCGCATCTGGACGGAAAATTACATAAAAAAGCACAAGCCTGTGTCACAATGTTGCATAATACATCTTTTCTCTGATAAGAAAATGTGTTGTGCTGCAAATATAACCCTGGCAGGCCTCTGCAGAGAAACATATGGGGAAAATATGTAAATTAAGGTAAGAAAACATTACCTTGAAGCCGAGAATACAGCCGATGAAGAGCAGCACGATGAGGACCAAGCAGATGTTACTGAGAGCAGCAATCTCCTCTTTGTAGGGGAAGTTATCAGGCTGCACGGGAGTCAGAAAAACATAATTAGCAGAGTTCATCTGAGGTAAATACCAACATGTGAGATGATAAACGACAAGTCAAATGTTTACAAAAACCTTTGTGAATCACAAAGAAGTGAATATACTGCTGTTAAATATCACTGATTTCACTTTTAGGAGGAAAACACTTTTCTTACCAGCTGCTGCAGGTAATCCTGTATAGTGTTTGGGTAAACCACAATGCTGACAGCGACCAGGGTGTTGAGAGCAAAGTCAAATATTTGGTAGCAGAAAAATGGGATGATCCAGGCCGCACGGAGCTGAAACAGAGATATGTATTTTAGGTATTTAGGATATACTTATCTGAGAGCAGAGAATCAAGCTGAGCGCTTTCTCTAACACTGTGGAGATAAATCAGAGCTGGAACTGGGTCGCAGAGAGATGACGGTATGTTGAAGGTAATAAAACATGAGGTATGGTGTTTGGATTTGTTGTGTTTTCAAAGACTTTAAAAATAGATGTAGTGAACAGAATCAGTGTATAGTACAGTAAAATGTAGTTTTAATCAGCAGTATAACGGCATAAAAAAATGTAATGAATAATTTGTTTACCTTGTATGCACCATATGTTGCCATCCCGCATATGAGTATCATCAGCAGAGAGATCGCTGAGGCAATGCACATGTCTAAAGCAGAGAGAGGAAGAGTTAATCGTCAGCCATGGTTCGCTTGAGGTCACTTTGGTCAATGCCAAAAAAAAAAATCTGAAAATGTTTACAACATCATGCTCAGCTGATCTGGGGGAAACAAATTCTGTACTGAAAATAAATGACAAGCTGCATCTGTCAGACAAGGAATTACTCTGTCATTCACTCCATGTCAGCCTGACCTCATATCAACTCAACATAACAGAACAAATCACTCTGTTACATAAGGACAGGGCCGCGGAAAAACAAAATACAGTACATGCGGCACAACTGGAGAGAAAAATGTGAATTCAATTCATCATTTCTCTGTCCTATGACCCATTAAAATGCCATGTACATCTATTATAAAAGGGCAATGAACAATGCAGCTCTGAGTCACTGGATGAATCTCATTTGCTCATAAAAGGACTTGTGAAAGTGAGCAGAGAGCCTAATTTAGCTGAATGTCAGACTGAGAGTGCTTTAAACAATATTTAATTTCCTTTTAGCTCTGTTTGGTTCCCAACCTTTTACAGAAATATCTGGCTCTATGGCTGCTAAATGCTCCACCATGTTCACCAGCTAGACGCTAACTTTGTCTGTGTCATTTGGTTATCAGCGGGTTATCAGAGCTATTTCAATGAAAACAGCTGCAAGCTTAGCCTAGCTAAGTATAAAGACTGGAAGCTAGAGATAATAGCTAGCTCGGCTCTGTGCAGAGATAACATAATCTTCCTACTAACACCTCTAAAGCTCACTAATCTAAATTCATCGTTTGACACAAAAAGAAATGTAGAGACATGAATTTGTTTCTGTAAGTGCTGTAACTCTACCCTAGAAAACAGAGGCCACTCGTTAGCTTTAAAGTGTGAAATGCTAGCTGTTAGCCACTGCTTCCAGTCTTTATGCTAGCTAACCTAATCACCTCCTGACCCCAGTTTTGTACTCAATAAACATATTTCTAAAACTTAATATATTTATATGAATGAATGTAAGTGTCCAACTGTGTTTTAAAAAAGGTAAATTAGTATGACATGGTGTAAGAAATGCAACATTTTGTCCCTTTAGTGTTTATCGTCAACAACAAAATACCAGAGTAATATGAAAAATAGCAGCATAGAGCACTGTTCATTGCCTGTTGGGCTTATTTTGGTCTATCTCGTGGCTATAGGTCCTGTTTTGAAGAGTACATGTCTTCTGCACAAGCTTTTGAGGCTGTATTAAATCATATTTTTGAACCAATGCACCAAAAATAATGACTCTGTCAACAAAAGCACAGTATCAAATACGCTGAGTCATCTGGCTGAAAAGATCCCTCTTAGTTGATTATCAGATTTATTATTCAGCAGCAGAATCAGCGGCATATTTCCAACCCATATGGAGCGGCAGAAGTTTATAAATTCTAAAACCACACAGCAGCTGTCACTACAGCTTGTTGTTGTTTGTCAAATCTGAATATTCAGCGCTGCCAAACTAACGGAGCAACATTGCAGAGTTCCCGTTCCTACGAGCACAGGTCATTTTTCAGTTCCTAATGCAGGGGTGGCAGCGGCTGGCCCAGCCTGCAGTAATGGATCATGGGACACCCTAATCCTTTTGGAACTGGGACAATACAGTCATTCCCAATCAGAGGCTACCAGCAGCATGTGCTGTGGCCCACCTCCAGTCAGACTGTTCCAGTGTACACCTGGCCTGTTAAGAAGGCTTTTCAAACGCCCAGCACAGATGGACATTAGGCTTGCATGTCTGCGGCTTTGGCCGTTTAATTTAGAAAGGAGTGCTGACCGTCGTCTAGACCAACGTGTGAGGTCCCTCTAATAACACAATAAATCATTCTATTAGTCAGATGACAGCCATGTTGAGCCTATCACCCTGCAAGCAGAGATTAAGTCATCTGTCACAGTCAGTTGTAGGATTCAGTCTCAGGTAGAGCAGAAACACTGCAGAGTGCAATGGAGTTTGAGTAAATGTAATTATATGTAACATCAACTGTTAAGGTATTGGAATATAGAAATAACAAGTCAGCTGATGGCGGTATCACCAGACTAGTTATGGGATGTTTACTGTAAAGTAACGGCCTACTGGGCTACTTACTGGCATCATCCATGACATCCAGGTCATTAGCCAACTCAGCGCTGGTCAGGTGGTACTGCTCAGGATCATTGAGCGCTGTGAGCAGGATGAGTAACACCACGGCATTGATGAGCTTAAGAGAAAGAGGACATATGGGTAGATAAAGGCAACAATATGGACAGACAGGCGGGGGGCATGTGGAACAGTTAGAATGAAATGGGGCAGATGCTGAAGGTCTTCTGACGTGTTAAGATGTCTAAATGTTCATACTAGAAATATCTACAGTATGAGCTATAAGTGCAGGCACATACATGAGCCTTTGTTTCGGTGTGGCCGCCGCAGCTCATTATGCAGATGACTCACCATTGATCAGGTGAATGTAATGGAAAATTCTGTGCAGTCAATAGGCAGCCTGACACAAAACCTGCTACCTGAAGAGGCCTAGCACTAATTTATTCATAGGGAGCAGACAGAGGATTTTTCCACATGTGGTGTTTGGTTTAGTTGAGCCTCTCCTGCACATTAGAGTGATGCATTCAAGAGGAGATACATTAAGAACTTAAAAGCACAAAATCAAAGGTACTGTACATATATGTTCACGTTTTGATTTAAAATTCTTTAAAACAAACACATTGTGAGTTATTTCTTATGTGAAAGGTTCGCAATCTGAAGTATAACACCAATGAGATAGAGGAGGATAAACCCACCTTAAACTACAGAACCCTCCTTTATAGGCCTCCACAAGTATACCCCAGTCACTTACAGTACAACACAATGATATACTTTAGAGTTGCCTGGGAAATGATATTTACAGAGGAGAAGAATTCAACCTTGTTCTGGGTATAAAAGAATTTGAATAATAAAACCCAGCATGATGATAAAAAGAACTGAACACGGTCTATGAATGCTTTCTGATGAGCTTGTGTTTCCCCTGATGATACCGTGTTTCTGGATGTCTACATGGGTGCAGTGAGTGAGTGACAGACGATCGACGGTGCTCACCATGTACCAGACCCCCAGGATGACGGTTCCTGTGCGGACATGGCAGCACAGACAGCAGCTTGTGGAGTACCAGCGGTCCCACGGGGAGATCATCATCTTGTCTGCGAGCATTTACACACGGTGTCGGTGTTTTATGAGAGAGGGAGACCCCGCTGTCCTCCCGTCAAAGTCCGCTGTACGTCGGTCCTCCTCGGTAACGAATGACGACTGCCTCTGACCTGTCCGTTACTTATCACCGTGAGCAACCTAACGGAACGGAGCGGCTGGCGTCAAGCTAGCATGAGCGTACAAGGTGACTTCCGGTTTCAAAATAAAACAACGAGAATGATTGCGAATTAACTTTTTAAGGGAAATATTTAAGGCAAAATCACCGTCTATTATTATTATTATTACTATTATTATTATTTAAATGCAATTTATTAATTGGCAAATATACCATTATTAGTCTCTAAAAGTAAGATATTGACAAATATTTGTCCCTTATCCCCAATATTGATACATCTGTTAATTATTTCCTAAATCGATTGTTTTAGTCCACAAAATGTCAACACACAGTTAAGAATTACAAATCAGAATTTTTCAGAATCAAACTCAATAGTCCCAAAAACGAATAATTATTAGTGGTAATTATAATAATATCACTAAATAATATTACACTTACAATTATGTAAAAAAAATAAAAATACAATCCTCACAAAATAGTTGCAGATTAATTTCCTGTTAGCGATTTAATAAACAACTCATCAACTAATCGATAACAGCTGTCACATGATATACCAGGTACAATCATTGTGATATATATGTAAAGATGTCTGTTACTGGCAGTTACGGGGCACTTTCATTAAACCATATCAGTGGCCCAGTTTCCAGGAATATTACTGTTCCAACCTTCTGCCTAGTAACAGTGTTGTGTTATTTTAGGAGACAATCCTTCAGCTTCCGGTCTTATTCTGGGCAACTTGTCAGCTGGACGAGGGCGCATTAACTAGTCCTGTTAGTGATACGGTGCGTGTGACAGGCTAGATAGGATTAAACCGATGATGTAACCCGTCATTTCCAGAAAGTTATAGAAGCTTAAATACTTTGCATCTAGAAATTACTTGTAGGGCCCAGCTCGTGTCTTTGAACAGCACCGTGGAATTGTTTACTCCCTCTGAAGAAAATTTGAATGTCCCCAATGTCAAGAACTCCGTTATCTTTTCTGATTTCCTATACAGTATTTATTTTCTGAAGGTTAGCCAGCAGGCCTGGGGCTTCAACCTGACAGCTCATGAAAGTAATTTGCCCATTACAGTTCTTTGACTGGAAGCACAGATAACCATATTCTTTCTCATTAGGCCTGAACAATATGCAAAAAGAAATACAATTTTAGTGAGAGTGGTCATTTTTTCCAAAGAAATAAAAGATGTGACTTTTGCTGGGGTCCATATCAAACATACATGTTCCCTAATGTCTGTAAAATATGATTTGTAGGCCGGTGTATCTCTAGCACCACAATGCTTCATTTATAACGCTGTGTTGTAATGTATTTTATCTTTAATCAAACCAAAGCAGCTCCTGCAGTGTGGTTCTTGCACTTTTGCACAATTTCAGTCATGTTATTATTTAAAGCAAAATGGTCATGCTATTTCATTAATCATTACACAGTAAATTAAATAAAAGATATATAAAAGAAGCCCAAATATAGAAAAACTGGCCTTTATTTAGTCTTTTTACATATGGCTTGAGCTTTTCTTTTATTAGAAACAGGTTTTACAAAAGGTTCTGAAGACTTTCGAATCAACCACAGGTGGAAAATCATGACGATGTTGATGAGACTGTAATGGTACATCTACCATCAGAGGCTCCCACACTGCCACGAAGCAGTCACAGATAGAAAACAGCAAGGAAACAGTTGTCTTGAAACACTGCAGTACAACATCAGACAAGGGACAAACCAGATGGACTGAGTCAATTCGAATGCTGTAGTCACAGATAAGATTGCTAAGATACAGAGCAGACATGATTCCCTTTTCTGCACCAGACGATGCTCATGTCTCATTTAATTCACAAATGTTTTACACCCTGCAGAGCCGAAACCGTTGACGTGAAATAAAACATTTGATCTCTCCGCTCTTCACGCCCAACAGCGCTCTCTGTTCCATCACGGCTCACAAATGTAAGAGCAAAATAAAAGACTACAAAAGCAAAGGCCAGTTCATCGTTTTGGCCCAGTGTTGCGTGACCTGATGCATGTTGACCGTTTCCATTCTCTACACAGTAAACTCCAGTCGTTAGCCACCACAACATCAAATTTCTAAACATGATCAGTATTTTCTACATGTCTAATTACTACAATACAGCTCTTTCAATCAGTTATTTGATTCAGTGGAATTAGAAGACAGAATCAAGAGTATCAAATGCATACTTAAAAATCATTACACCGCATTACATTAGATTGCACTGCATCTAGGTTCAGTTTTCAACGATCCATCTGCTGACACTCGACGTGTATAAAAGTTGTTTCAATTTCCAGACAGGTTTTAAGGTTTAAGTCCATCATGAAGACCTTAGTTCAAAGTTCTTGACACAAAAGGTGTTGCATAAACAGGATATGAAGTCTTTTGCATACAGAAGTCTGCAGAGTGGACTCCGTCTCATGTCTCTCTCCTCGCCTTCTTCTTCTTTGCCGGCTTGGGCGCCTGGTTCTCCTCAGGTTTTTCTGTGGAAACACATTTAAAAAAAAAAAATAATAATAATAATAATAATAATAATAATAATAATAATAATGATGATGCAGGGACAACAAATGTGCATGAAATTTTAATCAATCTGTCTCCGGTTCAGCTTCAATAAGCAACAATGAGCAACAGTAACTCAGATTCTTGAAGTTTGCAACTGTTGAGCTATATTTGGGAGAAACTGTTTTCAGTTGGATGGCCGATGAGAAATCCACATTTTCCAAAAGTTACTACTAAATCCATATAAACCCAGATATTCCCTGTCAATCCAAACATCTGATCGAGGCTCTTTATCTGAGGAACAACTTGAGGGGATGGACATGAGGCTATAAAAATATCCAGGACATGTAATGCTGTCTCTCTGTAATCTGACACACAGTGTGACAGTGTTACTAAGAGCGAGACAGAAAGCTGTTCCAATGCTATACTAGTAAGTGGACCATCAACGCAGAAGAAGAAGTAGTTGGTCATTGTAAACGATGGTTGATGTGGAAAAATCTGCACAATTTATTGAAATATTATGGAAGTCACAACTTGGCCATGTGCAATATCCAAATCACAATCTGTACTGTAGTGTTGCGGGATGGCCTGGTCTCCACATATTAGAAAACAACTGTCAGATATTTCTCCTACCGTAGCGGTTAGCATTACGTTACCTTCTGTATAGCTAACAGCTAATGTGCTTACTTTGTTGTGTTGGAGCAGAAATGTTGTTCTGCTTGGCAGTGGGCTCACCATCAGTTGGCTTCTGTGGCACTTGTGTGACAGGGGGTTTCTGGGATATGTTGTCCTTCACTGGTTGCTCCACTCTTGCCTACAGGAAATGGGAAACACTGTTAGTCTTGATCACCTCGGCAAGGGAAGAATGAAGGAAGCAGTTCAAATCCATACACCTGTTACGTGAACTGCTCTGTGGTTCAGGCAGATTAAAGCCTGTGTGTCAGATATTAGTGCCACTGACCTCCACAGCAGCCGCTTTGGCAGGCTGGACGGCAGCAGTATTCTCCTGAACAGGTGGCTGCTTCTTCACTGAGGCTGCAGGTACCGCCTCCTTCTCTGGCTCCTCGCCCTTCACAGGACAACAGAACACAAGCCAAGTTTTAGTTCAAAGAAAACTTCAGAATAACTCGTGAGTTAGATACATTCTGTAATATATGTATGTACGTGTAAAGCCACAGAACCTTGCACGTGTGTGATTGGTCGCACTATATTCAGGCTTTCTAGATTTTTATATTCCAAAATCTGCAAAACAAATCTCTCTGCACTCTGTGTGAGGATTCTCACTATCAGTTACCTGGCCAGCTGCCTCCTCAGCAGCCTTCTTCTTCTTCTTTTTCTTCTTTTTAGTTTTCGCTGCTCCATCGGCAGCAGACTCTCCCTTGTCTTTCTCATCCTCATCATCATCCTGATAAGCACACACGGATAAAGCAAGACTCAGTTATAAAAATAAAGCAGCAAACAGTGTCTTTATACATGTGTCTGCATCAATTTGGATTTTTAACTGAATCCATCAGAAGTGTGGTTAAGTCGGTGGAGCACTGTAACCCAGTGCAGGATTTGTAAATGTCTTACTCTTGTGCCACCTGGTGGTTGTACCAAGAACAGCATTGACAAACAGCAATGCCTGCAATTTTACTTAAATTTATGTTAATCATTATAACAATTCTATAGTGTTATTCATATCACTCATATTATTCCCACCATGACAAGCCAAACTGTCTGCCATGAAGGGTGTTAAAGCATAATCTGTATACATCCACTCAGTCCTGAGAAGTGGTCTAACCCGACACAGTTAAAGAACCAGGACAACTGCTCTAAGACCTGCACCCAGAGGAGTCATCAATTGCTGGGTTTTTATTTTTAAAACTTCCAGGTAACTTTGTCCATACTTACAACCGCTGCAATCAGCAGATTGATCTTGGCAGGCTCCAGTAGGGGCCGGTCCTCAGTGGGAGGGGGCTCGGGAGTGGGTTCTTCATAGTTGCCCCAAACTTCAGAGGGGGCGTTCCAGTCAGAGCTGGGATCGACTGAACCACCATCTGAGAAACACAAAGGGCGTCAGGGCGCAGTTAGAAGGGTTTCAGAACTAAGAAGTTAAATAGAACATTTGAAGAACAGCAGTGTATTGGCTGGCCTTACTGAGTCCAGACCACTCATCGTCCACTCTGGGCTGACTGAGCGAGGGCAGGTCCCACACAGGCTGGGGCTCTACAATGACACAAGGACAATAACTCAACCTGCCATCCACGTGGGAGGTTTTGGAAAGACTACGCCATCTAGGGGTGTGAGACAGGTTTAACAGCCACTTGTCATATCATCAGTGTGTTGTATAATTACCAGCACTCAGTCCAGCTAAAGTCACCAGATTTCGCTCCGTTTTCGGTATCCCAGACCATGTGTCTGAAACACACACATTTCACACATACTATGACGTCATTGTTGATGAGGACTGCGCGCACACACACACACACACGATTGTGTAACCAATTTTTGATACATCATTTCTGTGGCTTCACATTTGAAGGATAATTACATATTTTCCCCCTTAAC